GTACTTGACCCGATTATGAGCATGGTCCTTTTGGGTTGCCTTCACCATAGCAATATGTAGGATGATTTAAGGAGAGAAAGGTTTAAATATGATTTATTAATATATTATGAGAGTAATATATTAAAGGAGAAATCATATTGTTTAATTAATATTAGTCAATAATTAATTAATAATTAATTTTGTGTCTAAAAGAGATTAATTAAACTTAGGGGACTGAAGTTGTAATTATAAGATAATTATAATTGGGCTATGGATCACCTAATACTATATAGGTTGGATGAATTCTATGGGAAGCCCATTAGAAATCGTCCAAGGGATATGGTTAAGGAGTCCATGGGCTGCTTAGGGCCTAAGCAGTCAGATTGTTATTGCTATTGCTGTATAACAATCAAAGGTAATTCTATAAACCCTAATTCAGTTTATAATATGTTAGATCTAAGTTTATTAGTCTTGGATTCAAAGCATGTACAATAGAGACACCTAGATCCAAGCATTAGGGTTTGTATGAGCACATAGGATTGTTCTTATGCATAAAACCCATCACAAACACCATCTCCATCTTGGAGATCCAATCCATAATCTCAACAGGCTTTGGGCTTCCTGAGAGACTTGGTGGTTTCGCACCCAAGAAATTCTTGTACATTCGCCCATCCTTGTCGTTTCTCCTCTCCGGGCCATCCCTTTGATCACCTTGAGTCCCCACTTGACTCACTTGGCGGCTGTAGTTCCCTTCCTCCGATTGCTCGGGAATCAGCTCGGGTTGCTCAATGGGCATAGTAGGTTCCTCCATATTCAACATCCGCCTCATTTCTTCCCTTTGTTCAGCTAGCATAACCCGAATCATGGCTTGAACTCCAGCCATGGTGACTGGCTCAGGTGCAACTTCTTCTACAACAGGTATTTGCTGAACCACTGGGGGTTGGTTCCTATTCTCATTTGCATTCACGTTTCCGCTACGGGTCCTTGCCATCTTGATCTATACACCGAATAAGGTGAATCTAGACCCTTACATAGGATTGACGTTTAAATCATCCTTATCGCTCCGAAACGTTTATATGCTAGTTCTAATATCGTATTCGTACGTTTAGAATCCTAAACACATAAGGTTTCCAGATCCGGTCGGCAACAGACCATAGATCCAATCAAACTATAGCATAACAAATCATTTAGCACATAAAAGTAATTTAGGCATCATTCCTAAATTAAGCTAGTGCTCACACCTCACAATCATCGCTTAGCATTCTAAGTTTAAGTCTAAAAATAAATCCATATTCCTAGTTCGCTTAAACTAATGCTCTGATACCAACTGTGACATCCCCATTTTCACGGCCAGAAAAGACCGATTTTGTTTATGCTTTATTAAAATCAGAGTTCTTCTTTTAATAAAAATGTTGCGGAATTTGTTCCCAGAAAAACATGATAAATACGTTATTAAAACATTTCCGAAGAAACATACTTTATTCATTTTAAAACGTTTGGGATGTCATCGTCAATACAGGAACATAAGCATAAACAGAACTTACATTTATTTACACTAGTGATCTACATCTCTTTAAATCTCTCAGTGTAAAGTGACTTCGTATCAACACCTGTGATATAAATAAACTGAGTGGGTCAGGTTGGGAAACCTGGTGAGTACATAGGGTTTTCAACCTACAATAATATAATTATTATGTTTAAACAATCAAACAATCAACCCAATTACCCATCCCCATTATCTTCTTTAGTCTTAAGGATCTACCCTAAGAATCAGCTATTCCTCGTTTATTTATTCCTAAGGATCTTTCCTAAGGAATCGACACGAAGTCCATCATTACCAAGGCTTATAGAATATATCTGGTGAACACGGAGTCCGAAACATCTGGTAAACACTTAGTTCAAAAGTAACTAGTGAACACACTTAGTTCAAAATACCTAGTGAACACACTCAGTTCAAAGATACGTAGTGAACCCCACTCAGTTCAAAAATACCTAATGAGCACCTAGTTCAAAAATACCTACATGTTACAAACCTGCTATCGTTCCACTGGACTGTCAAGTATCGTCCATAGTCGTCATCTATACTCCACTAGATGACTGGATCACTGACAACACTGATGTCTCCCATCGTGTTATCACAAAACAACTATTTCATCTACCCATGTTTTACCCAACACATTTTGTAGATATAAAATACATATACAATTTAAATCATTTAAAACATGTATAAAAATCTTTCACCCAACATAGACAGCAAGTATTCAGACAATATGCACACACAACATGTAGTTTATATTAAAATACTTCATATCTATGTGTAAGATGAAAGGGACCATGCACTCACCTGAGAAGGTGGTGACTCGGTACTCGGACAGCGCTTCGTTTACTTTAAAATAATTTCCTTCGACGAAACCTAGTATTATCACCAATAGATTTTAGTCTATTATTCGCCGAGACTAATTAATAGTCTAGCTATTATTACTATTATAGAAGCGTTAAAAAAATACTTATATAACCTATAATAATAGCCCAAGTATTTATTATATGTTCTTAATAACGTTAATATAATTAAATAAAAACTATATTAAAAATAGCGTAGGCGTAGCTCACTTACAGCGAGTTTTATAGAAAACCAAGATTTGCTTGGAGCAGCATTTCCGAGCCGAAAAGCTCTTCTTCTCGGAGCCGTCGAGCACTCCGGGGCTTCCGCCTCGTGCTAGGGAGGTTCCCTAGGCTTTTCGGGGGATTTCGGGGCTAGAGAGAGGTTCTAGAGAGAGAGAGTAAAGAGAAGAAAGAATGGAAAAGGTGTGAAGAAAATAAGGGTGGGAGAGGTGGTATTTATAGGGTGAAAATGGCTGAACTTGGTGCCACATGTCACCATCTAGTGGTAAGACTTGGGGAGAAAGCAATGGTCAAGATTGAACCACATCACCCATTTTTGCACAGCACACTTCCGACTTCTAAAATCCGTAACTTTCACATACGACCTCTGTTTTTGACGTTCTTTATATCCACGCGTAGGTAAAAATAATATCTACAACTTTCATTTTGACTCCGTTGGCTAATTCTCGACCGATCTTAAATTTAACAGTACGAGGCGTTTAGACTGTTAAATGACCGCGAAGAATTCGTAACTCCTTCATACGGACTCCGTTTTCATCTGTCTTTTTACTGTTGAGTTCCTATTAATGAGATCTTCAAGTCTCATTTAGGTCGCATAAGCCAAAAACGGCTCGAACTAAAATTCAAGTTTCGGGCTGTACACTGCTAAGCCGAATCTTAGAAAAATCATAACTTCTTCATACGAAGTCAGATTTGGGCGTTCTTTTTATGGATTTTCTCGGTTTAACATATTCTACGAATTTCGTTTAGATCACTAAGGCTAAATCTAGCTCTATCATAAATTCACTTTTTACACTTCCCGGTGCCGTGCCGGTTCTGTCGCGAAACTTCGACGAGTCATAACTTCTTCGTTATAACTCGGATTTCGGCGTTCTTTATATGTACGGACTCCTTGTGACATATACTACAACTTGGTTCAAATTATTTATTATAAATAATATTTTGTCGACAAGTCATTTTCGACCCCTATTATCTCTAAATTGACTAGCCCGGATCTACGGGCGTTACATATTACTTTCTCCTTGAACCTTCAATTTCCTTCTTCTTTTTCTTTTAGGCTTCAAGAGCTTCCAAAATCACTCATAAATGGCTCACAAACTCAAGAGGAACACTAGGATTTCGTGGTGAGGGTTTGTACACCAAAGGCTTTAAATGAGGTTGATGGGAGGGGAATAAGATGCTTAAATAGGGCACCAAGTCCTGATTTTAGGGTTTCCCAATCCAAACCAGACTCGCCGAGTCGGTCACTTAATCCGCGACCCAATTCACGCTCCTACTCGTCGAGTCTTCCCATCTACTCGACGAGTCACTTCCTTATTTTTTTTATTTTTATTTTTATTTTTCCTTTTAAGGTCTTTTGAATTCGGAGTGTTACATTCTACCATAATAAGAAGAAGTGGAACAAACGACTGCAACCTATAATAAGAAGCATGTTTGTTTTTAACATCTGCATTTTATAAACTGAAATAATTCTCAACATTGAAATTTAATAATTCTAGTCTTAAAACATTAAAATAATAATAACAAGAACATGTAAAAAACAAAAATATAATTTTTTTTTTTTTAAAAAAAAAACATAAAAAATGTAAAAGAAGCTAATAGTTTTATTCTAGAAAAAAAATTAATTTAAAAAAAAATTAAAAAAGAAAATAATAAAAAAATTAAGAAAGTATTGCAAACGTTATCTACAAAGTTCGTAAAAAATTATACACTTTAAAAAAATGTAACTGAAATTGAAAATATTATTAATAAAACGGTAAAAAAATTAAAAAAAAACAAATTAAAAAAATCGTGGAAATTATAAAAATAAATTGTATCACATCCGTAAATAAAAATTTAAGAAAATCAAAGTTTAAAAAAAACAATTAAAAAAAAAAGTTATACAAAAATTCTTAAAAAAACACTTAGAAAAAATGAAAGCTGAAAAGGTTAGAAGAGGTAAGTCAAGTGCTGCGCTACGCGAGGTTTTGTAGTCTGAAGTACTCAAAAAAACAAACTACTGCGAGAGGGAAAGTGCTGCACATGTGGTGCGCTGCGCAACAATAAGTGGTTTGAAGATGTTTTTATAAAAAAACAAACAGCTCAGGTTACCATTTCAAAAAAAAAAAATGTTAATAAGTACATTTATTAATAAGTTTCGTTTTCCTAGAAAGTTGACACAAAATACAAAGGTTTAAAGTTTAGATTTTAGAAGATTGGGACTTCTGGGAGTTTATTGAGGGTGTATAGTGGAAGCAGACATAAAGCTGAGGGCTTTTCTCCCTCATAAGAAAACGGTGCTTCATATTTAAAATTAGCTGTTCCTCCCATGATTCACCACCTGCTTTGTCTACTGTCGCTAAAGAATAATAATTTAATCTGAATCGTTTGGTTATATTCTTTGAACTCAATTGAGTTTTATGGACAAATTCAGAAATTCTTTCAACAACAGATCACAAAAAAACGACCCAGAGATCGAGCCTGAAGAAAAGCAAATCCTGCTTCACGAAAACCATTCCACCATTGATCAACTTCCATCAGTTAGTGCTGTTACAACTATGTCTTCGTCTCCGCCGCTTCCGGATTCCGGTGAGCGCCAGAGAGACATGAGAAAGATTACAAACGGCAATGTCGCTGGTAGTAAAGAAGCAGAGCTAGCAGCATACAAGCTCAACACTGTTATCGACCAGCAAAACCCTAACACGGTTTGGCGAGATTTGAGTTACGATTTCTCGAACGACGGTAATAAATTTGATTTCTTAACATCTGACTCGCCGTCACCGCAACAGTCACCGGCGTTATCGAGAATAGCCGAGAGCCCAAATAACTACGGTATGCTCACTCCCAAGGAAGTTAGGGTTTCGTTTCATGATGAGGTGATTGAGCCGCAATCGTTACGGCAGAGGTCCATTGGTAGTGGCCGCGGTGGTGGTGGAGAAGAAGTAGTGACGTGCTCCGGGAATGCTTCGTTTAAGAGGAAACCGAGCTTGATGAGGACGAAAACGAAGTCTAGGCTAATGGATCCACCTGAGACAGATCAGAGGTCTGGTAAGCTATCGAAATCTGGAATTTTAATGAAAGGTGGCAGTGAAATCGATGAAGATGATCCATTTTTGGACGATGATCTACCCGATGAGTATAAGCAGTTAAGGTATAGTAAATGGACTTTACTTCAGCTATTCAGTTTAATCACCATTCTTGCTGCTTTAATTTGTTCCCTCACAATTCCTTTTTTCAAGAACAAGGAGATCTTTGATCTTGTATTGTGGAAATGGGGGGTTATGATTTTAGTTTTGATCAGTGGAAGATTGCTTTCAGGGTGTGGGATTAGGGTTCTTGTAATCTTGATAGAAAGAAACTTTTTACTTCGAAAAAAAGTTTTATACTTCGTGTATGGATTACGAAAAGCTGTTCAAAATTGCGTTTGGTTAACTTTAGTTCTAATCGCTTGGCTATTAATATTCGATCAGAAAGTTGAACGATTTACAGATGGGAAGGTTTTACATTATGTGACAAAGATTTGGATATGTCTTTTAGTGGGGACAATCGTTTGGCTATTGAAAACATTGTTAGTCAAAGTTCTTGCATCCTCTTTCCATGTGAGCACGTTTTTTGATCGGATTCAAGAATCTTTATTCAATCAATATGTAATCGAAACCCTTTCGGGCCCACCATTGATTGAGATCCAACAAGAACGCGAAGAGGAAGATCGGATGATCTCAGAGGTCCAAAAACTTCAAAACGCTGGTGCCACTTTGCCACCCGATCTTAAGGCGAATATGTTCAAGAAAAGTGGGAGGTTTATAGGAACTCCAAGAACTCCCATGGCGGGAAAAAGTGGTAAATTTTCCGAAGTTAACACCCCTAAGAACGTTGAAGAGGGGATCACAATCGATCACTTACATAGGCTAAATCAAAAGAATATATCGGCTTGGAATATGAAAAGATTAATGAATATCGTTAGAACAGGAGTTTTGTCTACTTTAGATGAACAACTTGAGGGGTCAAGAGGTGATGAAGACGAGTCTGCAGTGCAGATCACAAACGAAAAACAAGCCAAAATTGCAGCCAAGAAAATATTCTGTAATGTCGCTAAGCGAGGCTCCAAGTAACTTCTCAATCCTATTTACTTGAATGCTAAAGTACTCCATCATCTTTTGATTCTTTTCATGTTCTTTTTACTTTTACAGGCGTATTTATCTAGTGGATTTGATGCGATTTCTGAGAGAGGATGAAGCGCTAAAGGCAATCCGACTATTTGATAGTGAAAGTGAAACCAAAGGAATCAGCAAGGCACTTCTCAAGAATTGGGTGGTTAATGTATTCAGAGAACGAAGAGCTCTTGCATTGTCTCTCAATGACACAAAAACAGCTGTAAACAAACTCCATCAAATGTTCAATATTGCTGTTGCGATCATAATAATCGTGATCTGGGTTCTTATACTCAAAGTTGCCACCACACATTTCTTCATATTCCTAAGTTCACAACTCCTTTTGGTTGTGTTTGTGTTTGGTAACACGTGCAAGACGACATTCGAAGCCATTATTTTCTTGTTCGTAATGCATCCGTTTGATGTCGGTGATCGATGTGAGGTCGATAGTGTTCAGGTGAACATAAGAAATAACAACGTACTTTCATTTATAATCTTGTTTTGAAAAATATTTATAGAATTGGATTGTAAATTTTAATGTTGCGGATTGCAGATGATAGTTGAGGAGATGAATATATTGACTACGGTTTTCTTGAGATACGATAACCAGAAAATTATATATCCAAACAGTGTCTTGGCTATGAAACCCATTGCCAATTACTATCGTAGTCCGGATATGCAAGATGCTGTTGAGTTCTGTATACATGTATCAACTCCTAGTGAAAAGATTGGTCTCATGAAGGAGAGGATTTTAAGGTACATGCTATCTTTTTTTTTTTTTTTTTTTTTTTTTTTTTGCAATTTGCTTTTATTTGTTTTTAGGTTAAATGCAAGAAATAGCAACGTACTTCCATTAGTTTGTTTATTATAACATTTTACTTCCATTTAAATTTTAAACTTATTACATTTCTTCATTGAATAATAATCTACCCAACTTTGGTAATCTTATTCATATCCAGAATGAAAACTAACCAAGGTCCATACATATATAAAAAGACGATAATAGATAATAAAAAAAATCAGAAATTCTGAGGTTTTTCAGAAAAAGTGGGTGCCAAGAATAGACTATATAATACACAATAAATTGAAAGTCCATAGCTAGTTTTTGCATTTAGCCGTTTTTTCCTATCATTCTCCCATGTTTATTGTAATTTTCTCAAATTATATTATACTGTATATTAAATACAAAGTTCTTATGAATAGTAATGTTTTTCACTTTTGGAGTTTTGCCACAAAGATTTTAGATTTTGGCAGATTTTGTCCTGAAATTTTTTAATTTACAGAAAAAGTCCCTGTAAAGCTTCCTTTTTTACAAAAACAATCCATATATCTAGGACTTTTGTATGTTGGCAGGTTTAGCCCTTGTGTAGAAAATAAACTACAAATATTGTCCCCGTAATTCACAAAAAATGTCATCATGTATTTTTTTTATTGAAACGGTCAATTCGTTAAAAAAAATTACAAAAATCGTCCCCATAATTTACAGAATATATCATTGTGTAATATTTTTACAGAAACGGTCCATATGTTTAAAAAAATTACAAAAAAATCCCTAACTAATACAAAATTTGCAGTTTTGGTCCCTATACTTTCCTACATAGGCAAGTTTGGTCCCCCCAAACAGTGCGCACAAAATGATAAAACAGTTAATAATAGTACTCTCCTTTTGTGTGACTAGAACATAGTAAACAGTGAGGGGGTATTTTTTAAACATCATTCTGTCCGGACAACACTTGAACATGAGATCGAAATAAGATTAATACGTACAAATTTACCCCTGTTATATCTTGTAAATTCCAAATTTACCCCCGATTGTGAATATCCCTCCTCATTTCCCTTCATACATACGCGATATAATTCAATCCTATGTCCAGATCTCGCGATCACACCAATCACGTCATTTTTCCACATTAACAAAAAGAATTTGACATAATTATAAATCATAATCATAAATAACAATTTGTAATGATTGCAGTTACATTGAGAACAAAAGCGATCATTGGTATCCGGCACCTATAATATGCTTGAGGGACATAGAGGACATGAACCGGTTAAAAATATCGATATGGCCATCACATCGTATGAACTTCCAAGACATGGGTGAAAGATGGCAACGAAGAGCTCTTTTAGTTGAGGAAATGATTAAAGTCTTCAGAGACCTCGATATCGAATACCGTAAATTGCCTGTTGATATGAATGTTCGTAATATGCCGAATGTGACATCGAATCGGCTTCCATCCACATGGACTACTTTGGCAAATTGAGATATCTCAAGTGAAGTAATTTCACCTTTTTGGTTACATGGTGCGATAATTGATGTATATACAAATACCATAAAGATTTCTTGGAGGCCTTTTTTTTTATTTTGTAATGATTTGTTTTTGTTATATTTGATATTAAGTGAAAATGAAAAACTAGAGAAAGCAGAATGGTAAAGCGAGAAAGAAATGGCGATGGAATGGAGTGATGTTTTGTTTTTTTTTTTTTTTTTGGGTCTTGTTTTTATTATGTGGAAATATGAAAATGAAACCTATGGAAGGTGAGATGGTGTTGTAAAGGTGTTTGCGGAGATTATAAAGTCTTTTGTAACATGCATTTTCTAATAAAGGATCAATCACTTGAAAAATTCACAATTCTTTGTTGCGTACTATACATAAGCCATATAAATCATTGAAATTACAACATTAGCTTTTTCAAGCTCAAACAATTTTAAGTTTTTAGCTGATAATTAGGCCATCAATAATACTTTACACACAAGTTCATCTGAGTTGAAGATATCCATCTTGCTTGAGATCTACAACTACAAAGTATAATTTCGCTTCCAAGGTTTTCTTGATTCCCAAATCTTGAGCTTGAAACTGATAAAGAGCTAATGTTAAAGACAATGGTTGATCGATCCGTGTAAAAAGAAAGGAAATCGAGTTCATACACTAATTTTTGCGTATCTGGGCATATATTTGACATATAGATGTCACTTTAATAAATTTTGTCCATCTAAGTTTGTAACAATCCACTAACCGATTTTATCTGGTCAATCACTGCCTTTCTACAAACTTTTATAACTATGGATGATTTTAATTTTTTTTTCTAAACATATGAATGAGTTTTCTGAAAAAAAATAAAGTAATGAATTTTAGGTAAATAGTTTAAAATGTAAAGGCTTCTCTAAAAAATTCCTTTAAGTTAAAGGAGATGGAGCACATATCCAAGGTTAGAGTTAAATGCGGCAAATAAATAGATGAAAGAGGGCATAATAGTCAATTTGTAAGTTTCTAAGGGATATTAACACAAATGGTCACAATTTAAATTAATATTAATGAAAATAACTTACTATTTTGAAAAATTGAAAAATAACCTACTTGTTTGGAACCGGGACGGATTCAAATTTTACATGTTATCAATAGTTGCCTGAGTATCCTCAACTTAAAAAAGCTTTCTGGAATGTGGTATTTACCAAACTACCACCTCCCATAACAACATTTTGAAAGCTCTGATATAAAATGGAAATGGACACTGATAGTGAAGATATTATACGGTGTTGCGAGTATGTTTTTAATTTCTTATTGTTAATGGTACCTATGCTTAGACGAACCATTTAGAGAAGATTGATGTTGAAAAATGATGAGTTGATTATGAATTCGCAAGTTCACACGCTTTCATTAGTTCTCACAATAACTCAGCCATATATATATATATATATATATATATATATATATATATATATATATATATATATATATATATATATATATAATATATATATATATATATATATAGTTAGTTAGTTAGTTAGTTTGATATGTAACCTTTATCTATTGTATGAATGTATGATCCATTCTACACCAATCAATAGATAGGGGCACTATAGTAAAATGACTAACTAATTGATAAAATCCCCATAACTATTAGACTATATTTATGGAAATAAATTGATATCCTTTACGTAAAGATTAATTTGACCACAATTAGAAGTCGTGCAAGCTCAAATCCACCTACGACCATCTTCTCTGTCTTACCTTCGAGAATCACCCACAGAACACTACGACAACCATTATCATGTTCATTAGATAGCCACCATAACACCCCCCCCCCCCCCACCCCACAAAAAAAAACCTTACAGTAACACCGTCAACCCCCATCACCAGATTCATCAATGAAGAAGCAATAACCGAAACAAGCCCTAGTTACCTAGGGTCCGGATCAGTCAAAATATCAAGTATAATTGAAGAATCAACCATTTCATTGATACTGAAAGACGTAATTGAGGTCAACAATTAGGACTTAAATCAGAAGAAAGATTAAGATGTGGTGCTACACCCAAATTGACATTAGATGGATTTTCCTCCATCATTGAATCTGATCAACTATTATAAGTACATAAAAGTGAAGCCGAAGGTTTGGTTCACTTCTACAAAGTGCCGATCTTGAATCGCCGAATAGAAGTTGAAATTGATGCCATTCAAGAAGAATCAAGGCATGGTTTTAATGCTTTAACAAAACCAAATTTCTTTGCTTTGCTTTTCATGTATATTATACTAGCCAAACTTACTGTTGCTTCAACCTTTTTTTTTTTGAGTGTTTATGTATATTTCTAGAGGCTATTAATTCAATTACAATTGTCTTTAGTGTGTATATATATTGTATGGTACTTGATTCCAATAGTTCATCTTAAAATAAACTTCAGATGCATAGTATATGATTACAAATGGTCATCTGAAAATTAGCTTTTTAGTTTATTATTATATTCTTGATTGAAAATAGGGTGTGGGATTACATTTTGAATGTTTAATTTCTGATTAGTTGACAACAGTGAACTATACTGCTATATGCTATGATTATTATCACATAAAATGAAAACAATTCAAAATCAAATGATCAATCTAAAATGAACTTTTATTTATCTTCGTGATTAATTTATTTTCAACAATAAATCACACTAAAAATGTGTTGACTACTTGACTGCCATTTAAAAAATACAATGTAATGAACCATTGTTCCTTTTGTAGGATTTAATTTGAACAAAACATTATTATATTCGTTAAGAAATAGGCAATCATATTCTTTAAGAATAAAACATATAAAATTCAAGTCTCATTCTTAAATTTGTGTAGAAATAGATATTCCATTCTTAAAGAAGTTACAATGAATTCTTAAAAAACGGTAAATGAGTTAATAGGAAAAACGATTTATATGCTCGTAATTTGTTTGTACATCAACCAAAGTAGAATATTTGTTGATGATGATGCAATTTGATTGTAGTAATTTTTTTATATTAGTTTGATTGAAATAAGGAAATTTAAAATAATTAAAATTTATATTCTTAAAGAATACAACATGTCAACTCTTATTCTTATGAGGTTGCATAAATTATTAAATAATTCAGTCTCAAATAAGTCTACAGCCTATGCAGTTAACATACATCGTAAAACTTGTTTATTAAAGAATGGTATATGTAGTTCTAAACTTAGTCTAAATTTAGACAATGAGTAAATATCTCGTTCCTAAGCAATTTGTATAAATTCTTAAGAAATGGTATGAGAATAAACCTTGAAAATGATATTTATGGGTAATGAATTATTATTTATTTGGGTTTCTGTAATTTTCTTTATGATAGAAAATTTTAAATCTAATATTATTCTTAATGCTTTTTAAGAAACAACAATGTTGTAAATAATGATGAATGCACATATGCATTCTTTGCATCTACTAGAGTTTAATCTTTAATGTTTAAATGAATGTATTTTTAATCTTTAATGTTTAAATGAATGTATTTTTTCCTTAGATAGACTTTTTTCTAAATCTAATTCTTAAAGAATATGCTCACATTCTTGTAGAATATGTTTAAAATTTTAAATTATGTTTCACATTCTTAATGAATCTAATAATGGATATAATGTTGTTTTCGATTTTTTTGTTCATGCAGAAGAATGGAACGCATAATGAAAACTAATTCTCGAATTAAATGCATAACAATGGAATACCAAATGGAAACATATTCTTGGAGAAAAAATACTCAGTTGGAAGTGATTCTTGAAGAATGAAAGACAAGATTAAAGTTAGTTTTTGAAGAACAGAATATATAATGCAGAAGATCGAAATATTAATTTGGATTTGAAATGTTACTTTTCAACAATGTTAATTAATATTTTTAGCATTTTATTTCAAAATTTTTCTAAACTTTGGTTTGCATAATTGATATTTGCATTTTCCTAATATGTTATAAAACAAAATGTCCAATTTACCCTTATTGGTTGTTTTTATATAAAAGAATTAAATGCTTTCCAATTAATTACCATCATGTCATTCTTCATCATAACCATTCATTTTTGTAATCTAATGGACAAAAAATGGTCATACATTCACATAATAGTTACGATTCATATTTAATCCTACCCCTATATATATATATATATATAATATATATTAATATATATATATATATATATATAATATATATATATATATATATATATATATATATATATATTTCTCACATCTATTGTATATTAGAGGACCGCCAAGGATCGCCTACGACCACAGAGGACCGCCAAGGACCGCCGACGATCGCGAAACCCAAGTTTGACCGGATTTGATCAATTTTCACTAAGCACCCTAATCGTCATCGGTTTAAGGCCACCAAACGATTAATCACCGATTAATCGGCCGCCAATGTCGATTTTTGCAATATATATATATATATATATATATATATATATATATATATATATATGAAAAAATGAATATACCATTAAGTGTATATAAACTTAGGTACCAAAACACACCATAATACGTCGTTTTGTTTGATATATTCATTTTAATGTTCTTAAACTTCAACCCTAACTTGATTTGCTTTCAAGATATTCATTATATATGTAACATCCCAAGTACAAAATCAAGAAGTTGAAGGGTGCTATATGAAAATAAAGGAAGGGACTCGGCGAGTAGGTCTCTTGACTCGCCGAGTCGAAGCGAGTACCGGGCACGTGATTAAGTTGCATGACTCGCCGAGTCGGTGGCTGGACTCGACGAGTCAGTGCTGGATGAGGCAAAGCCCTAATCTTTGGGTTTGCACCCTATTTAAAGGACTTAATGTCCTCCCCTCAGCCCTCTTAGCCCCCTCAGCCCCCTTTGAGATCCAGAAACACTAACTCGTTTGTGAGAAGCCTTGGAAGCAAATTGGAGTGATTTGTGAAGAGATCTTGAAGATCAAGAAGCTTAGATCAAGGAAACTTGAGGAGATCTGAATTATTCTTCAGTGGGAGGTCATTTTGGAGGTAAGGAATCGTTATCATTGGCCTTCTCCTTTCTAGTACCATTTTCATGGAGTTCTAGGGTTTGGTTGGAGAGATATTGATGAGATCTTGGTCCATGAGTTAGATCTGGAGTTGAAACTCCAGATCTGAGTTCTATGTGGATCATTGA